ACTCGCCATTAAACAAACCTTTGCGGGGAATACATCAATTGTGGGCAGTAGAGGTTCAAGACAAACTGTAAAGGATCAGGCTAAACTTTCTGTCTGGAGCAGGTGTGGGACCAGGGTTTTGTGGTTGTAATGGTCGATCAGACTTTGACTGCTGGACTAGTTCAAGTTTCAGTCAACTGAAGGAGTGTGCATAGTGTGACGTCCACAGTATTCTCAGCAGCGCACTACCGGTATTCTAGCTGACTAGATTCCGCAGACCACTGTCAGTTGGCTGTTTGTACCCTGCAGCTCTATGCAGTAATGGTACACACATGCTGATGTTATTTGCAAATTGCATATTGTGGATCCATTTTGTGACTATGTGTTCCCATGCAGTTCAAACCGCTTGTCGAGTGCGAATGGAAATACATGACATGACACAAGCACAGAGACAGCTGTATATTGATACCTACAAGACAGCGTATGGACAGCCTGCTTTGCGTACTCTGCTGCGAAGCCATGCTATCAACTTTGCAGCTGGCATTCACACCAGGAATCAGTTCTTGCCATGGCACCGCTGGTTCATTCTGGAACTGGAAAACATCCTGCTGGCCGTCAACAGCAATGTTATTCTGCCATACTGGGATTGGACTCTGCATAGTGCTGCACCGTGGAGTGCACCATTGTGGGGTAGTGCATCACATTGGTATGGTGGAGATGGCTCTGGATCATGTGTGACAACGGGACCATTCCGCAGTGGACAGTTTTCACTTGTGTCAGGCGGTTGCTTACGGCGTGATTTCGATCTCACTGAAACTACGCCTAGCGCTCTGGTAGTCAATGACATACTTTCCACACCCGTGTCTTCCTTCAATGACTTTGAACTGCGCGTCCGTGGAGAACTACACGATACAGTTCATTGCCGTATCCATGGCACTATGTGTACGCTGGATGCTGCTGAATCACCAGACTTCTTCCTGCACCACGTATTCATTGACAAGCTATGGGCGGATTACCAAGCAAGAAGTACTGCACATCACGACGCTCACTTCAGTAGTCTGGGATCGGCCATGACAGCTGCTGGTGGCCATTCAGCTCAGGATATGATTGATCTGAACAACCAGCCTGGTGGTGTGTGCGTACGCTATGAGCAACCAAGCAGCAGTACTGCACGGCAGCTGAGAAGGGCACTCAGCCGTGTAGCACCCAGTGTGATAGCAAAGAGGGTTTCTTGTCAACCGCAAAGTTTGGATGTGAGCAGAGCTGTGCAGCAAGGTCAGGAGCTATTCAGAGTGTCAGCATCGGAGCGGTCCCGACTCAGCAGCCTTGTTAGCAAACAAGTGTGTCGCAGTGCTATGCCAGGACAGGCAGGACCATCTGGTGCCAGGACCACGGCCACGGCCAACCTCGGCTTTGATCTCAACACCTTAGTCAGCCTGGCAAATGTGAGTGCATCTGAATGAGAGTATACACTCATATAGAGTGAATAATCGGCACTATGTCTATGATTCTAGTTTCCATGACTACTCTACAACTGTGTACCAATTACACACTGTACACCTGCAAAAAGAAATGAAATCGCAAAATGAATTTGAAGCCTGAAAATACAGACTAGCGTTTTGAATTCTAGGACAGTCAATGGAAACTGAGTGAAAGTTACACAATTCTTTTCCTCTCGCCTTTACGCAGTTCCATTATCATATGTAGCTTTGCAAGGCTTGGTTAAAAAGGCCGAGAAGTCAGGTCTTGAGCTCGACTGGTTGGACATTGCGTGTGTGTAGGCTCTGACCAATCGATGGCATGCACGCACAGCAGTACGAGCCAGTGCAGAATGCGTCCACTAAGTAAGTCGATTATCGTGTCCGCTCCCGAAAGGAGCTTACGGCGGCCGCTAACACCTCGTAAACCCTAGCGGCAGATGCAGCGCCTAACGGTCGGAATGGGGGGGGGGGGGGGGGGATAAGTCTTGCGTCCACTGCTGGTGTTTAGAGAAGAGATCTTCTTGAAAAAAATAGGGAAGCTAATCAACATGCGAAACAAGAGCTTACGTTTACCACTATTGTGATCAAAAAAATTCAACTGCTCTCGAAGAAATTCCCTGGTTTGAAGCGAAGCCATAAACGGAAAAAGTCTAAAGAAAGAATTCACTTTCACCACCAGGACTCAACCAGGGACCCTTGCTTGCTCTCGAAAAGTTGAAAATTAAAAAAGCAAAACATTATTATCTAGTACCTTAGGCATGCTGGCATATCAGCAAAAACTGTACGTCGGGGTGTGAACTAGCAACTAGTACTCCTAATAGGCACACATGTACAGAACACGCGCCGACTCTTGCCGATATAATTATGATGAACGATAACAAGGGACTGTATTCACACAGTCCTCTGTGCATTGTTAAGCGTGAAAGGTGTGCGCGCGTGTGTGTGTGCGTGTGTGTGTGTGTGAGAGAGAGAGAGAGAGAGAGAGGAGGGGGGGGGGGGGGGGGAGAGTTCTCGTCACACCGGACACCCCATGATTTTCAAGGTACTAAGGTCTGGGTCATGTCCTGCTTTTCTCTCCTGTATTTTCTTACCATGTACAGGCCAAATAAGGGGTCAAGACGTCGCCAGCTGAAGGTACTACTAAAGTAGTGATGTTCAGCAACTACACAAGTACAAGTATCAAACAGCCTTCCTGTCTACCATACATATCATCATTCAACAGTTCTACACTTCAGAATTCCAATTCGTCATTGCCTGAAAAATATACGTTAATCCTCATCCTTATTCACCTTTGACTGGATTTTATATCATCTATTTCCTGTTTTAAAAACCTGAAGGGTCAAATGCTGAATAACCTATCAACCTCGATTTTTCTATGATTACGTCAAAAGACATCACACTGTATTATTATTATATCCAGTATACTGTTCCACTCATTCCAGCATACATTACTGTTGGCTGCTATATTGAAAAAGCCCAATCTTGGCCACGAATAATGTACGTCCGAATCTCTCAGTCTTTTTTTAGTTTAAAAACTAACTCTGGACACTATATTATGCTGTCACGAGCTGCTGTGCACCTTTGGACCTTGTTTGGTTCACAGTGAAATGCAGTTGCCCGAACTGTCATCCTCCCGGCTACCCGTATATCATGCGTATCATGCTACGTGTATCGATAACCAGCATGAACACCTGCTACTAACCACCACGACGAGCGGGCATGTTGTCCCGGCTGAACGTTTAAATAAATCTTTGTAACAATCTTTGTAACAAAAGAGGATTTGGGACACGAGAACATCTTACTGACTCGTAGGCTTCAAATCTAATAGTTCAAACATGCAATAACGAGTAGCAAGTATCGTCCTGTCACATACATCCGTTTAAATAAACAAAACAAAAAAGTGTTGGTGGTGGTGGTGTGGTTACTGTGAGTGACTGTTTTCAATGTAAATCAAGAAAAGACAGATAAGAGTAGGATGCACAGCACCATTAAAAAAACTGGTTAATTGCCAATATTACTTTTTTTTAAAGGGCAAAATCTTAGTAAAAAATTCTCAAAAGACATTCTATTTCCATAATTGCATAAATAAAAAAAGTCAGTAGGCTGCCAGAGCACTACAAGCTGCAAGAACCAATGGCAATGCAACAAGAATAGGAAAATATATATACTTTGAGAGGGTTGGTTGCTCCCAACATAGGGCACGCAGCCAACTTTCCCACCAGTATAATCTTCACCAAAGGTACCACTTTTAAGAATTTCTTATAAGAAATTAGTGAAATGTAAGATTACGATGACTCAGTCTTCTTGTCTATGATACAGTGTCTTTGCCAGCACTGAAACAACAGCCTAAACCCGCTGTTGCCTTTGCCATACCTTCATCATCATTCACCCGGTTGATAAAGTAAGCATCGATCTCATCGATCTTCTTGCCCTTAGTCTCTGGCTGTAAGTAGTATATCAGTACAGTGTAAAGCAGACTGATTGCCGCAAACACGCTGAATCCGTACGGGTGCGTGCTCTCCAGTATGCTCAAGTAGAACTGCCCGATCAGGTAATTCGCTGTCCAGTTCACCACACCTGCAAACGCGTACGCAGTGGCACGTGTGTTCTGCGGGAACAGCTCGTTGACAATCATCCACGGAACAGGACCAGGCCCAATAGAGAAAAAAGCAACTACACCAAGAGAGCCGGCGATAGAAAATACAGCTGTCCAGTTACCACCAGAAGCCTGTGAACTGTCCGAAGAACCGAAGAAGCCATCCTCGAAACACAAGCCAGCAGTTAAAATCACATAGGAAAAGCACATTCCACCAAGACCTGTCAACATCAAGCTACGACGACCCAACCGGTCCATTAGCTTTACCGAGACAATCACAAAGGCAACATTCAGTACGGCCGGTAAAAGAGCAAACAAAGCCACGTGGCTCAACCCAGCTGAAGTGTAAATAGCTGAACTGTAGTAGAATACACCATTGATACCAGTGAACTGCTGCGACGTGTGCAATACAGCTGTCAGCATCAAGCGAAATCGAAATTTGCGGTGAAGGAGAACCTGAAGAAAGTTTATGCGCGGAAGTCGGTCTTGTCTCTCTTTCTCGCTCCGCATTTCACCTAGCTCTTCACCCACGTCGTGCTCTGGCGGTCGAAGTCGACGCAGGGCCTCGGCCGCTGCATCCGGCTGGTTCTTGTCAATGTATAAATATCTTGGTGAGCGAGGGAAGAACGGTAGACTGATAAGCTGTAACACAGCCAACACAACCGGACCGCCAACAACCCACGACCAAAGTGAACATGACCCCAGCACATACGGCAGGCCCAGAGCTGTCGACACCAAAATGAAGGTCGAGATCGTCAGCTGATTCAGTGTGCCGATAGCACCGCGGACAGATGTGGGAGCAATCTCACCGATATACGCTGACACCACAACCATGGCGATACCAGACGAAAAGCCCTCCACAAATCGCCCTCCAATCAGCATGCTATATGTGGAAGAAAAGGCCATTATGAGCACTCCAGCAATGGAAAACAAATTGTTCACGAGTAGAGAATATTTCCTTCCAGCAAAATCAGCCAGCCAGCCACCAGCCAAAGATCCAAAGAGTCCTCCAACACAGAATACTGCAGTTGCTAGCTCAAACATTCGTCTTGATGACGTTGTGGCTTTATTGTCTACATCATAGTCTGGAGAACAGGTTGTGTTGCTTTGAAAGTCTGATATGATCACCGGACGCACGTTATTCAATACAGCTATGCCATAGCCGAATTGTGCCGACGAACCAATAAGAGCTGCTAGGGTTGCACCGAGCAAACGCCAGTTGATGGAGGACTCACTCGACTGCGCTTTCCGCGAGCTGCCCTGTGAGTGGCTTGAGAGCAGACCGGTTTTCTCTGTAGTAGCATCGTCGTCGTCGTCTTCCGACAGGAAAACTACGCGATCGTCACTCGTAGAGCTATTTCCAATGACCTGCACTTTCACGGACATTGCCGCTGTAGTAATGCCTGACCTACTTGGCTACTTTACGTCTTCTTCCTACATGTAGATCGAGCGAGCTTTCATGTTCAAGTGCATACAATTACAACAATTAGAAGCTCCCAACGAAACAATTATTTTTCAATATTATTTCTCTGATTGCTACTGTAAACATTAGTACAATTATTATGTCATGCTCGTTGTAGACACTTCAAAATCCGAAGATCTTGTACTTACACTGCTTACTACGGGGTTGCGAGCAGGCGTTCCACCAGCTGGTAGATCTACTGGTAGTCAACAGAGAGAGAGTGCAGTCAGGCTGTGAAAATGACAACCGAGGCACCAGAAAGCATGCAGCCAGCTCTTTGACTCGTATCGTGCATGTGATCAAAACAGCAAAAATTTCTTTGGCAGGAAATGGCCCAGTGCACTACGACGTAGACTCTACGTAGTGACGAAGAAGGACTGCTGTGCTACGAAAAAGCGGCGGGAGCTTCATATTCATGCTGAAATCAAGATCTACAGTCCATGACTAGTCGACTCTTGATTGTATGATTGTATAATAATATTAAATTTTTACAGGTATTATCAAGAGTGCATAAACTGTTTATGGACTCTTGGTATTATGTAGAGCTAGCTGTAGCTTTTTTTCTCAGTCTTTTACCATGCATGATTACTGAGCGCAATGGCTGGTCATGGACGTACACGTGGTAGGAAGAGTCCATACCGTAGAGTAGTAATTGGGTTATGGACTCTTGCCAGTCTTGGAAGTTGGTGGTAGATCTACATGATTGATTGCAGGGTAGACCATTGCTCTTGAGTCAAGTTGAGATGAGGGGGAGTAGGGAAATTATTACTATTTTCAGATGCGTGTCTTGGCAATTGGGGGAATACGGGTATGCACATTTTGTAAAGATCTGTTGCAACTCGTGAGTTTCAAGGCATGATAAGGCCAATCATGAGACAACACCGTCAATCATCATACATCACGGTACCGGGGTATACCGGTATAATATTTAAAATGTTAGAGAAGTATATCCTAAATAGGACGGGTGGCTGCTCCCAAGACCCAAAGAATGATAATAAAAAACCGATCCAGCAGAGACCTAAACTATAAAGTATGATGTAAATAAAATTCAGTGACCGGGGAAAACAATAATTCCACTGGAAAGGATATCTAAAAAGAGAGAACTTCACGAAAGCGGGCAAATTTGTAGATAGAAAATACAACAATAAAATGTGACAGAACCCAAAAGTGTTTTAGTTGAATCCCGCACAGCAGGTTATGAGGACATGGGATATCAGATATACCTCTGGGTGAGAAGACCTTTTTATGCAACTTCGTACCGATTAGTGTAGTGTGTTATGGGCCGTTCGGAAAATAGAGATAAGAAAGAATAAAACTAATTTACTATTGTTCAGCAAGTACTAGAGTAGAGAGAGAGGGAGACAGACAACTGCATAGGAATGATAAAACAAGGGTCGGATAGAGCAGGGGAAATGTTGTGAGCCAGTCTTACCTCACGAGGCTTCAGCAGTATGGTCACGAATGTTGCCATCACCAACGGGAATCACAATTGCACAGCCAGATGATTTTGCAACCTTTTGCCTAAAATAGGAATCAACTTGTTCAATTGGTAGTCCCTTCGTCTCCGGGAGTAAGAAGAAAATGGATACAAGGAAAAGCGCAGCCAAACCAGCAAACACTAGGAATCCATAGGGATCTAGCTCCAGAAGGATTTGCAGAAAGAACTGGCCAACAAGAAAGTTCATAGTCCAGTTTGTGACACCGGCAATGACGAAACCGGTGGCTAAGGAGCTGGGAGGGAACAGCTCCACCACAGACAGCCAGGGAATTGGCCCGGGTCCTAGCGAAAAGAACACGACAACACCAAGTGAGCCAGATATGGTGAGCGCTGACGTCCAGTTGGAACCCTTCACGCCATCAAAGAACCTCTTGTTCAGTCCAAAGCCAGCTGTCATCAATAGATGACTAAAGAGGAGACCAGCAAGGCCGATGATCATCATCTTCCGACGTCCTAAACGGTCAACTATCTTGAAGGAGACAAACGTAAAGACAACGCCGGCAATTCCAGGAATGAGAGAGATGACAGCCACATTGTTCAAGCCAGCTGATGAGTAAATGGCAGAACCATAGAAAAACACACCATTGATACCTGAAAGTTGCTGTGAAGCATGCATTATAGCAATCAGGAACAGGCGAGATCGCAAATTTCTGCTCGTCAATACCTCCAAGGCAGACATATTCACAGCGAAGCTACCAGCAGCCTTTTCTGCCACAAGTTCTTCTATTTCCGCTTCAACGTTAGCATCCTTGTCACGTAGCTTTAAGAGTGCAGCTCTGGTTGCTTCCGGGTCATTCTTAGTCAGAAACAGAAACCTTGGACTTTCTGGGAAGAATGGCAACACGGCTAGCTGTATGGTAGCAAACAGAATAGGTCCTCCGAGAACAACTCTCCACAACTTGCATGTACCAAACAGTTGTGGCAGGCCAACCAGTGTAGCAAAGAAGACAAAGAATGAGAGTAGAACCTGCCCACTGGCACCCATGGTACCCCGTAATGCCGTGGGCCCAATCTCACCCAGGTAATTAGCAATAACTACGAGTCCAATGCCAGCTGAAATACCTTGAAACACTCGACCGACTATCAGAATATCAAAACTCGGTGCAAACACCATCATAAAGCCTCCGATGAATGCAAAGAGGTTGTTGCCTAACAGCACTGTCCGACGGCCATATCGATCCGAGAGTGGACCAGCGATAATTGATGCAAACAGACCTCCTACACACATGGCGGCAGTGGCCCACTGAAAACTGGTGTTAGATTCTGCTGTGGAATCTTCGTTGGCGTTGAAGTCCACACTGCATGTTGTATTGTCTTGAAATTCGGAAATGATGATAGGACGAATGACATTGAGCATGCCAATGGCGTAACCAAATTGACAAGCTGAGCCGATTGATGATGCTAATGCAGCAAGGCATAGGACAAGATTGAGTTTCGGCTGAGGAGTAGCAGCTGTTTTACCGTGATCCTTCACCTCATCGCCTCCAGTCAGATCAAGAGATACATGTTGTCCTTCAGCTCTGTCCAATGATGTTTGGGAAACATCTCGACCTTGGTGGTTGACAGGACCGGTTTTTTGTATATCGTCATCACCAACTAACCTCGTTTCGCAGAATCCACCATCAGACATTCCTGTATTCTTGTTTTCGATATCCAACAACTACTGAACGATTGAAGTCCTGGGCAGCAGGTAGCTGGGCCTCAGTACATGAAAGAAATTACAAAAATCTCAACACTGACTTCAGTGCAAGGCTTGGGTGTTCTAGCAACCAGCAAGCAGAAACAAGGAGCACTAGACACGGAAAGAAAAAAGGAGAGACAGAGACAGAGAGGAAGAGAGGTGCTCTGCTGTGCTGAAATTGGCTGAACACCAAGTGACAGTTTGGAAAGCCAGAATTAAAAAAAGGCAGATCCAAAATTGTCCACGCTCACCTGCTCACATATATGTGCATGACATGATGTGGTCACAAACGATCCTGCGCTGCGTGCCTTGTATTGTCCGTGTCATATCTGACCATACTCATAGCGTACCAGAAGAACCTCTGCATTATACCGTATGAAGAAGCATACGGTAGACCTACGCATAGTCGGTACGGCAGATCGAAGCCAAACTGCCAAAGAGCCTTCGTTTCTTACATGACACGTGATCGTTGCCGGGGCCATGGCCAATAGGCGATTTCCCGCCGCGGGCATAATCAGGCCGGCCACGCGCCATCAGGACCGTTTGACGTCATTTCGGGAGTTTCAGGACCGTTTGACGTCATGTCGGGAATGTCAGGACCGTTTGACGTCATTTCGAGAATAATTTTTCGACCTTCGACCTTTCGACCTTGGAAATCGTATGACGTCCCGTGACCAGGTGACGTGACGTAGAGTTCGAATTTTGTGCTCCTGCTTTTCCCCGAGTTTCGCACAAGTAGACTTGGTAGCTCTCTCCACAGTGATGCCCGCAAAGGGCAACTCCGCGACTGGCGCCCCTGACGCCTTGACGGCCAGTGTTGCCAGTGCACTGGCAATTCCAAGTGCGGAAAAGGCTGCTGTTGCCGAGAAGCTGGCAAGCTATGCGAGGATTGCGGGCCCGGGAACAGGGCAAGATGCCGAAATTCGCAAACCGTCGCGGCGCGGGCCAGTCCCGGTACGTAGGCTTTCGAACCATACGATACATTCCAGCCGCCGCGTCCCCCATGCGGAGACCGACAATCCAGGGCGAAGCCCACGTGTCGCAACAGTCGGCTCGGGACACTCCGCCTCTGGACGAGCTCCACACCAACGGTCAGGGCCAAGGACTAGATAGCACCAAGCAGTGTCGGACTCGCAGCAGTTGGCGTGGGACGCACTGGAACAGCTCCACGTCGCCGAGCTCTGCGTCGACGGTCAGGGCCAAGGACTAGATGGCAGCCGCACTACCCACGTGTCGGCCTCGCAGCAGCTGGCGTGGGACACCCTGGAACAACACCACCTCGCCGACCCGATTTCCAATTCGCAAAAGGTAGCATGGGACCTTCTCGATGCCTCCACACCAACACCCTCGGAGACCGGCTCCTACGGAGAAGATGCACTGCCACGTGAAGCCAATGCTACACGGCAAGACCGACAGCCAACGCGCAATGGCACAAGAGGTCGCCCTCCTAGCGAGCCTGAGCTCTTCGCAGCCCAATAGCAACAACGAGCCGGAACCCACAAACGCGCACGGTACAGCTAGTGGGCAGGGAGCTGCAACACTGCCAATCCCGCCAGCTGACCAACGACTCAGACTCGGTGAGCTGAGCCCCGAGGACACAGGACAGGTCATAGCTGCAGCGTACGAGGAAATCGTACACTTCCGGCCTAACCTGTTCTCCACCCCATCGGGTGCCCATGGCAGGTCAGTGGTGGACTTGAGCGCTCGCTACCTCAACACGTTCGGAACAAATGCGGCGGGAGAAGGCATAGCCTTGAAGGCACTTATGGTCTGCCACAGTCTCCTACTGCAACAACCGGTCAACTGCTTGACACGTAAGGTACATGTGGAATGTCTGAACCGACGAATGCAGCTATGGAACGAGGGAAACATCGATGAACTCGTCCGGGAGGCACGTACCATCCAGCGCCAACTAACCAAGGAACGTGGCGGGAAACGGGCCCAAAGTCCAGATGATGCGCGACGTTTCGCTACCCTCATCACAAATGGTAAACTGGGCGCAGCTCTCCAGTCCCTGACAGCAACGCCCCCGGGTGGGCTGCTAAATCTGGACTCCTCCGCTGATGGTAAAACCGTGAGGCAAACACTGAAAGAGAAGCACCCGCCGGCGGAACCCATGCATATGCAGATGCCCTCATCATCGGCCCCTGCCCTGAACTGCCGCTCCCGGTGCTGTTCGAAGCTCTAAACAGAGACATCATTCGGCAATCGGTGCTAAGGACAAATGGAGCAGCGGGCCCATCCGGCATGGACTCTACCAGCTGGAAACGCTTGTGCACCTCGTTCGGAGCGTCCTCCGACCAGTTATGTGATAGCATCGCCACCGGAATCATCAACCCAATTTCCCTCGAGTCATTCACGGCATGCCGCTTGGTGCCTCTGGATAAGAAGCCCGGGCCGGGGTGCGCCCTATCGGCATATGTGAAGTCCTCAGAAGGATAGTAGACAAAGCTATCCTCACCATTATCGGAGAGCATATCCAACAGGCGGTCGGGTCGCTTCAGCTGTGTGGCGGCCAAGAATGTGGTGTCGAAGCAGCGATCCACACAATGCGGCACCTATGGAACGAGGAAGAGACCGAAGCAGTCCTCCTAGCAGACGCGAGCAATGCGCTCAACAGGCTGAACCGCAGTGTGTGCTTGCACAACATCCGTCACCTCTGTCCGGCCATCGCGGGTGCCGTCACCAACACCTACCGGCATCCCGCACGGTTGTTCGTCGATGGGGAGTGTCTTCTTTCTGAGGAGGGCACCACCCAGGGAGACCCGATGGCAATGCCCATGTATGCCATTGGGCTCCTCCCACTCATGCAGAAGGCGGCGAGCAGCTCAGCGGTACAGCACATCTGGTTTGCGGATGATTCCACAGCAGCAGGCCGTATGCGTGCGCTGCGTGTATGGTGGAACATGCTCGAGGAGGAGGGCCACAAGTACGGCTACGTCATCAATGGTTCCAAATCCATGCTCCTGGTGAAACCACAGTTTGCCAAAACCACGGAGGAAGTGTTCCATGGGACTAACATCGCAATCATGCAAGACGGTTGCCGTCACCTGGGTGCGGGACTGGGCACTGCTGCTTTCTGCAAGCAGTTTGTTGCAGCGAAGGTCACGGAATGGGTGAAGGAACTGCAAGTCCTCACTAGGTACGCCCAATCGCAACCACAAGCAGCGTACACGGCGTTCACGCAAGGGCTGAAGGGCAAGTGGACACTCCTCGCTCGCACCATGCCAGAAGCGACGGAGAATTTCCAGCCACTGGAGGAGATTATCCACGGCGAGTTTATCCCGGCGCTCACAGGACACCCCGCTCCTGATCAGACCACCCGCTCTCTCCTCGCTCTGCCTTGTCACCTAGGGGCATGGGTCTAATCAACCCGTGCGATCTCGCCAGCCAGTTTGATGATTCCAGGACCATCACGCAGCCATTGGTGGAGCGGACCATCGTGCAAAACACGGACCTAGGGGATGTTCACCACACCATGAAGGCAGAGAAGGCGAAGGTGCGCAGGATCCACTCCGTAAGGGAGAAGGAGACCCTAGTCGCTATGGAAGAGTGCATCACTTCGGACTTAAAGCGGTCCAGGGAGCTGGCGGCGGAGAAGGGTGCCTCGTCGTGGCTGACATGCAAACCACTGAAGATGTTTGGCTTCATGCTATCCAAGGGCGCATTTCATGATGCGGTTTCATTGCGATAATTATGGCTGGCCTCTGAAGCGGTTGCCCTCTGCTTGTAGCTGTGGTAAATCATTCACCGTGGCCCATGCTCTCTCCTGCTCAACCGGCGGCTACCCTAGCCTCCGCCACAACGAGGTACGCGACCTCACAGCATCCATCATGAAGGAAGTTGCGCACCAAGTTGTGGTGGAACCGCTGTTAGAGCCGCTGACAGGTGAAAGGATGACGCTACGGTTGGCTTCAACTGAAGACAACGCCCGCCTGGACATCGGTGCCAGTGGAGTCTGGGGAGGTCGGTACGAGCGTTCGTATTTTGATATCCGGGTTTTCGACCCCCACGCCCCCACCAACGCCAAGTTTGCCTTGCCCGCTGTGTACAAGCGACATGAGCAGGAGAAGCGTCGCCGCTACGAGGAACGGATCACCAACATCGAGTACGCCTCCTTCTCACCAGTTGTCTTGTCCTGCACTGGAGGGTATGGCAAAGCTGCAACAGCACTCTATGCTCGGCTGGCATCGATGCTCGGCTGGCATCGATGCTCGCCGACAAGAAGCAGGAGCCGTACTCTGCCACAATCTCCTACATCCGATGTAAGCTCAGCTTTGCCCTCATCCGTGCTGCTGTTGCCAGTCTGCGAGGCCATCGGCACCGAGTGCCCTCAGATGCAAACGACTCGGCCCGATTTGCAGTTGCCATGAGCAGCATCGGTCAAAGCTCCCTCCCGAGGCTCCATACTAGACTGTTTTCACAGCCACTTTGCTCTCTCGACTGTTTTCACAGCCATTTTTGCTCTCTCGACTGTTTTCACAGCCATTTTTGCTCTCTCGACTGTTTTCGCAGCCATTTTTGCTCGTTTTTCTTCCGCTGCTGTTGAGGTTGCACTCGTAATTGTGTTTATTTTGCCCGTACAAGAGGAGTTTTTGAATTGACATTTTGACCTTTCGACCTTTGGCCTTCCCTAATTTGTTGCTTCGCATTGTAAGAAATCAAATCAAGCACGCTCTGCCTGTCATGATGGCTGCATCTTGCCCTTGTCTGCAGCCCTCGGGCTGCAGGCTCGGGCAAGATTCAGCCATCATGACCTCCTGAGCGTGCTTGATTACATACATCCAGTTGCTTCGAAAAACACAACTGGATCCGATGCCATGCATGGGTACGATGGCGATGAAGAACAACGAAGGAGAAAGTAGAGAGGTTCCGGAGTACGATTTTTCGTGCCAAAATCCTTAGAGGCGCTACGGATTTTTTATACGTCGTTTTCGAGCAGTGAAATGTTCCGGAGTACGGAAATTATGTGTTTGCCGTCATTGCCTAGGTTACAATCGCAAACACGTCACATTCCCGCGCTATGCCTTTTTATTTTGAAAATTTGTACCGAAATCAAAACTTCCAGCGGAAAATCGATGTTTCTCGTACCAAATTTGTACGCGAAAATCTTTCTGCACCCGATGACGCAAAATCTCCGTACGAAACATGGTTCGTATGAAAGCCAGTCCACACGGATTCTCCGTGCCGAAAAATCGTATGGAGCACGCCTCGAAAAAATCCGTAGAGCCCTTATGGATTTTGGCACGGAAAATCGTACCCCGGAACCTCTCTAATGTGTGATCGGAAGAAATGATGAACACTACTTTTACAAAAATAATACTTCGAACTAATTTTCGCACAACACTCCTCGTTCTGTTGATAATTAAACTATTGTCGCCTCGCCGCTTTTGAACACAATGTAATATCAAGAGTATAACTCTCTTGGTAATGTAGTCATCATCATGCTTGGAAAGTACACTTGTTGCACAAATTCGTACCGACTCAGTGTACTGTACATGACACTGGAACAACGTGGAAGCAACCTAAATGCATGCACACAGGCATTATAATAATAATCATATGCAACGCATGGACACGCCAGACTAAATAAGCACAAGCATGTTGGGAAAAACATATAATTCCAGAGGAACAGAATGATCGTGGTGATAGCAAAGCATAAGAAATGTTTCTCGGCTACGGTTTGTAAAACGGCACGGCAGAAAACTTTTGGCCGAAACATGCTACAAACCTGTTTTGTAGTCCTCTCTCAAGTGAATCGGAAGAAAAAAAGAAAGACAGGAGCAACATGGCACAGAACACACAACGTGAGAATCAGTAGCTGGGAAAGAGAGGAAGCATGCGCGGTATTTACACCTAGAATGGAGAACAAGAGAGAGAATGATCAAACATTTTCATGAAAATGAGCCAAACAAAAATTACAGGTTGGCAAAATATGATTTTTGCAGATATGAAAACATAATTATGGAGGAGAATCAAGAATGCCGCATTAAAAACCATCGTGCAAAAAAAAACACTGGGCAGGGGAGAGACAGCAAAAGATATATCTATATATAGGAAAACTGTACAGGAACTAGGTGGGTAATGTGTGTGCGTGACATACAGAATACAAGAGCAGAGCAGAAGCAGCCATGGTGGAATAGCAGCAATCAACTCAGACAATACTATCTAACATCAATACAAACAAAGTGAAATAATCCTAACGGACAAGAACAAGGAAAACACTACGCACAACACCACCACCACCAACACCACCAACAACGCCACCACCACGACCACCACCACCAACACCACCAACCACAACAACAGCAACAACAACGACCACGACAACAAAAACAACAACGGTGCTGGATAATGCCAATAACGCAACAGAATAGAAACACCTAGACACTGCGGACCAATAAAAGCAGAGTGAATATCAAGGAGCGAAGCTGAGGAGCATCGTCGAGGAGCAAAGCCAAGGAGCCTCATGCCATTGCCATGTCATCATTGGGTAAGGAAGAGGAATTGACGGAGATTTGTGGAGTATTCTGGCCATAGCTATATGCCGCACTACTGGAGTTGTTGTCTGTCAGTATGCTGAAGATCTGAGAGGAGAAACGAGCCAGGTTTTGTGTGAACCTGTAACAGTCAACAAGAGAAATAAACAAAAAACAAAAACGCGGCATGAGTAATACAGCATTTCAGACAAAGACATCCTGGCGGTGAGATAAAGTACTCAGCTAGCACCACACATGGGTGCTTTCAAGCAGCATGCGACCCATGCCCGGCTACTTAGGAACTGTTACATGTACAATGTGAGCAGCATATCCTGTGTGACAAGAGCACACGCTCGCACCATCTACATTTCATTGGTCGGTTGCAGGTGTGTGCATTCAATAATTATTTTCAAAACGAAAATCCCCAAACCATACACCTAAAAAATGAGTACAGTTTGGAAAAAAGTTCGCACAAAAACACACCCAATACTCCCTGGCCGGATGGCCTTAATTCACAGAGTCGGCGTAACGTTGGCACAATAATGCCCGCAGCTTACGTATCTCTATTCCGTGATGCAAGGGACCGGTCCACGCCATCCATCAGTTGACCGAACAGGGCAACAATGGGCTGTTGACGGTGACTAGGCTGACCAGCAACAATGTCAGTCTGAAGTTTAGAGAAGAACTGCAAACAACACACACACACACACATTTATATTGCAATCAGACATACATCTGCAGTGCAGTGCTGTGTGTTTGCATGCGCACACACGTATGTGCATGTCTGGTGGTCGTGATGGGGATGCTGACTGACAACGACCACACAGTGAGCACACAGTGAGTACATAGTGGCAAATGGGGAATCACATAGACAATGGTCAGCCAGAGCAGAGATGCTGAGTGGCACAAAAATGAGATGCAACATGCCAATGAGAAGGGTTGATACTCTAACCTCTCCCTGTCCACCATCCTTCAGTCACTGAAGCAAGAAAGGAGCAACAAGCTGAACTAGCGGAGATGTAACAGTCACCAGCACTGTTTCAGAAGTAGTCATCAGATATGTGACCAAGGTACACCCGAACAGCAGATATGTGACCAAGGTACACCCGAACAGCAGATATGTGACCAAGGTACACCCGAACAGCAGATCAAACACATGCACCATTTGAGCAGGGCCGTAACAACTCACCCGTTCATTGACCAGAATAAGAACTAGAAGAGGTCTTGAGATGGACCACTGAGGAAACAAAAACAAACAAAGAAGCAACATGTTGAGACTGTTTATTATTATTACCGTAAAGTACCGCCAGAGCGCCCCGTCTCGCGAGAGCGCCCCACCTTGATTTTACAGCCAGAGAAAGGAAAATCGTATGGCAGAGTGCAACGAAGTGTGTACGATGTGAGTGTACCAAGGTAACACTTGGCAGGTTTTTGTGTGGAGCTTGTGTCCTCTTGAAGGTACGGATTGACTGCAAAACGTGCAATATGTGTACAAGGTTCATGTCGTATGACCTACAGACAGCAGACCACCTCCACAATACGACCAGGAAAGGATGAGATGGTGGTGCGCTCTGGCGGTATTTTACGGTATATGTTTTAGTTGTTATGCTGCCTCTCTCCAACAAAGACGGAAAGACAGCAGGCAGGCCACACAGACAGGCAGATTGACAGACGGAGAGAGAGAGAGAGAGAGAGAGAGAGAGAGAGAGAGAGAGAGAGAGAGAGAGAGAGAGAGAGAGAGAGAGAGAGAGAGAGAGAGAGAGAGAGAGAGAGAGAGAGAGAGAGCAAAACCCCGGCAGTGGCGAGTACCGTGTTCACAGGTACATGTGATCAGTTATAGGTCAATCCCCTTTCTTGGAACTTCGATTATTTGCTTGAAAGCTTCCCTGCTCGCTATGCATGAATGATACACACACGAACACAACTTGACATTGAGGATACACACACACACACACATACACACACACACACACACACACACACACAGCTCGAGATAGGAGTTGCACACTCTAGATTATGTACTCTTGATATCCGCCAAGGTCCAGGGTTCCACAACTGAGATCGAAATGGGGGGGGGGGTCTTGATATCCGCCAAGGTCCAGGGTTCCACAACTGAGATCGAAATGGGGGGGGGGGGGGGAATAGGAGCAGGCTGCGAGCAGACTGGTGAGCCAACCGAGTTAACCCAGTACTAGTACTTCAGTAAACAACTTGCACTTACCAGGTAGGAGCAGGACTCAAACACCACAAGATTCACCATGATAGAGAGAATCTGAAAGAAAACACAGCAAACATGCAAGCATTCAGACACACATGTACAAACATTCACAGCCCTTTAGGCAGCAACTACTACATGTATTAATTTTGAAGCAGCAGGCAAGCGACTGTGAAAACAAGTAGCAATTAACCAGCACAATGGTAGTTTAGTCTTTACTACTAGCTACGTGCACATAATACATCTTCCATAGTGGAGTGCTGGTGAGTGGAATCATGCAATGTCGATTTCGAAAGAGGGCAGTCAAAAACTTGAAAGGGGGTGTAGCATTACGCTAAGGCGCTTTGGCGACACCTCATGCTCACAAGTGCGCAAGCTCAACGTCAGATGAATCACTCAAACTCTCCAACAAGCAGTGCAGCACTCTTCTTGCCTGCAATCACTGATCAGCACTAACCTCATTAAGAATGTCGGGCTGGTTTTCTAGAACGCGCAGCAGCGATACTTGCTGTGCCCCGCTGGTGTTCTTGGACAGCTTCCTGAAGACGTAGGAGATTATGTGGTCCAGTGTGCTGCAAGAGTGGGTCACTCCTGCTACATCTGCACCGCACCAACACACACACCAACACACCAACAGACAGACACACACACATACAGACAGACAAACAGACAGACAGACAGACAGACACACACACAGACACACACACACACAGAAAGACAGACACACACACACACACAGACAGACAGACAGACAGACAGACAGACACACACACACACACACACACACACACAGAGGCAACAATGCATTGTAACATAGCCAAAACAGATCACTATGCAAGAAAACATACACTACAGAGATACAACGAAGACATGAACAAACCTGCTTTTGGCTGAAAGCAGCAGTGCAACGGAATAAAGGTCGGTCGAAGTAGGCAGTTATTTCACCTAAAGTTCATACAATTCATCTGGTAATACTCTTACCTCACGACTCTAGAAACATATGAGTGCAGTCAAAACATGCTCTATTCACAGCCTCTGCTGAGGCAACTTAGTAGAAGACTGTGCTATATGTGACTACATGTACTTGGTCCGGCTCATCGCAATTGTCGCTTATCTCTCACGCACCGTTTTACAGGTAAACCCAGTCCAATCACGATATCTAACTTACTTTTGCTTGGGAGGTTGTGATGGCAAGATCAAAGGAGGCACCAAAGAAAAATGATCGCGACTAGTGCTTTGAATCGCGATGTGTTCGACTTTTTTTGGGAAGTGGGAATCTGGCCATTCACTGTCTGTGTTGCCAAAAGCCAAGCGCAGCGACCCGAAGACCGGAACTGTGGTAGGGGCAACTGACATCCTGGAGAGCGTGACAGGCACGCGTGCCAGAGGCGGATCTAGGGGAGGGCGCGGTGGGCGCGCGCCCTCCCCTCAAATATGTCGATTTTTTTGTAGTGCATGCACATGGGCAGTTGCGCAAGTGTTTGCACATGCTGTGACAAGTAGTTTCTAGTGTCAGATAAGAAAGTTCTTCTGAACACGGAATAGTTGTTCTCTTAGACTTTGGTTGACTTTTAGTTTTGAAATTAGTGTTCAGTTGACGAACTTGTATAGCTAAGTCGGTGAAGGGGATGGCGCACCGCCCGCCAAGCGGCCAGGGAGCCAACAAACTCTCCACGGATTTTTCGCGAAGTGAACTTGTGCTTCGCCAGCTGCTCAGTCGAGCGATCCGTCTTTGGAGGAGAATTCGGACCACAGCGAAGATCCTGAGACCGAGGTCTGCTCAGACACTGATCTTCCCCAAATGGAATCCGAAGTAGATTCTGACGACGATGGTGGGACTCTCAGTAGTAATGATGCGAGTCAGGAGCGCTTACCTGTTGAAACTATCGCAGATGACGACGTTGTGACTGTCACGAATGTGGCTGGTAGCACTGCTACGCAGCGAAGTTACTCGGATGCTGTTGATGCAGCTTCTACAGCCAGAGTCCTCAATGAAGTGGTTGAAAAAGTGGGAGTGGGTGCATGTGCTAAAATAGTAATTCTACATAACCGCTAAGCCTATGACGTAAAATAGCCGCTATGTCGTTATGTGTACAAAATACATGTACCGCATGGGTTCCCAGTCATGAATATTACCCGCGCCCTCCCCTCAGCTGAACTCTGGATCCGCCGCTGCCGTGCACGGCAGAGGAGTATGAGCCGCATGAGCGTCATGCTGAAGAAGAAAGGTGTTTTTGACGGGATGCGCCCGGCGGACGGTTGTTGTTCCTTGCTTGGTGGACCTAGCAGCAGCATTACAAGAGTCGTGGTCAGCACACAGCGGAGCGTTTGACAGAAGGCTTTGTTGAAACACACTGTGGTGACACACAGGTCACACTGTGGTGACACACAGGTCACACTGTGGTGACACACAGGTCACACTGTGGTGACACACAGGTCACACTGCCCACGGTTCCTTCAAGCACCGAAGTGACAGCCGCAACTGTTCCTTTCCCATTGCTGCCACACGACAGCCTGAGAAAGCAAGAGATACTCCAGTCTACGCCAGCAGCTAGACACCAGCAAATGTCAGCTCATGTAACGGCGCCGCAGCTCGAGTGATGCAGAGTTGAATGAACTCTGGACCTGTAAGAGTGTGAGTGCAAAAACGCGCTCCTTCGCGGATTTATTTCGTGCATTTTGCTTACCTTGCTGCCTTTCTTCGATTCGCTTCACCTGATTCCATTGCTGAAATTTTTTTCTTGTGGCGGAGAGAATTCTTGTATCATGCTTCCTCACTATGCCTAGTGGAAATTTCACAGAGCGGTAAAAAAACTCCTGTTCTTAGTGGCGATAGATAAGCGACAATTGCGATGAGCCGGACCAAGTAACTGGATGTAACTGGATGTAACTGGATGTAACTGGATATGCACTCAACTCACCGACACCTGTCAGTCCCACTACTACAGATCGGAAGATGTACACCAACACCTAGAATGAAGAAAACCCAGACACACACACACACACACACACAGAGCAGGACATTCCTTATGATTGTTAGGTTCACGATTTCATATATGCACACACTCGCACACCAATGACCTCTCTCCCATATACAGTATGCTCGTACACACGCACTCGTACACACATTACTGCATGCACCCTTTTCCATTCCCGCTTCTCGGATACGCTACGACTTCTTGCTCCCGCATTCTCCCTTTTCCGAATTACCGTATACTTCCTCCGCCCAAGCAAAATTTTCGCTTATCTTTACACTTTTTACTGATACATTTCAGGTTCTCAGAACGGCTCCTAACGACTCAGAATGAGTTGAGGAGTCGTTGAACTTCAAGAGAAACTCTCCAAGTCGAAAAATCTAGAAGTCATCCTTTGTCATCAGCCGACGCAGTACTTGTTGTCGGGTAGTACTTCGCACTTTCCAGAAGCGCAAATAAAAATATCGACACTTTTCCAAGCGCTTCACCTCCTTCATGAGTATAATCGGCCGTGTTTCTTACCAGCCGAAGCGGACGAGCTTAGCGTAGCTTTGCAGGATCGTTCACGTTGACATCAGGCGAATGAGCTGGGTGAGTGACAACCCTGTCATCGAAGCCTTTCTTTTCCCCCTGTTTTGCCCAATACCGATTCTGGTTCATTTTTGAAATATGTGGGCGAGCGTCGCTGAGCTGAGTGGCTTTCTCAGCTTCAAGCTGACGTGCATTTTTACCGTACACACATCTTGTGCCGGGTGCAATCAAACACGCTGGCTTTTCGCAACATGACACCTCTGCTCTGTACTCCAGACTGAGTGGGTGCTCCTAGAGTACCACTGGCAGTGGTACTCTAGGAGCACCCACCTTGACCAGTGACTGACTTCGTGTCTTTTTTATCAGTTCACTCGCGTCCAACGGGCTCTTCTCTAGGTGTTTCCTTTACTCTTTGCCGACTTGTTTGGAACTGGTACGCCTGAACCAGCAGATTTGTGCGATCGTGAAGAGCACAAGATGCAAAAATTGCTGTCAGACACCTGTCATTGGGCTGAAGGAGATAAGCGAAATTTTTGCCTGGGCGGAGGAAGTAACTTCTTTTGGCCTGGGTAGCTGCATTCGCGCTTTTTACATTCATTGCCATAGATACCCAGGCCCTTGATAACCTTGTATCTCATCCTTTCGTTCTCTCTCATTCTCATAACCTCGAGTCCCTCGTACCAACAAGAACTCTCACTTCTGTGTCTGCGTGCCGCGAGTTCTCAACATACTTCAGTAATTATATTAGCCATTGCTCATTATAGTACCAAGCGAATGGCAAGTTATCCAGAAAAGCAGTCTGTTAGAAGTAAGAAGTTGGCTGTGTGCCTTCACCTGTTGTCTTGCCCTACGTGTTAGGAAGTATGTGATGATTGTCGGTTTCCCTATGCAGCAAGAGTCCATAAACTGCAACTGTTGTTATGGGTCTGTGCGCGGCCCGGTACCTTCGTTACGTAACTTGCCTCCATCACGCTCTGAAAGCATGCACTCAAACCTACAATCTCTCGTATCAGTACATCTGTTTTCGCTCGATTTGTTCAAGTACCCACATGATGTCTAATTTTTGGGCAGGTGAACTCGAGTTACGTACAAAAGTTCATTTCAAACCAGAGTGTTTGATTTTCAGCAGTGTGCGGACTGCAGCTAAATGATGTAATGAAGGCAGCGCGCCGCGCATCTGGACCACAGAAAAGAGATCACAGTTGCATGCTCTTGTTTATGGACTCTAGATGGCAGTTGCAAGTAACATTAGTTCTTCAAGATATTTGCACATTAAAATGGGTTCTGCGTAAGGGGCCATCCGGCATTATCGATTATTTTCACGGAACGAAAAAGTTTAGTTATGAGTTATGACCTACCCCCACCCACCCACCCCCTGGAACGAAAAATATGTTGACTTGACAGCTAGAATGGATTGATGTTTCAGCTATCAATACGGCCCCTAAGTAAAAAAAATACGTGGTTGCACTTCGATCATACCCCGCCACACTTGCGTAAATATAACTGGTTTCTTCCCACTCGTCCTACACGCAATTCCTGCACTTTGCCTATAGCCCGAACATCAGCTTATACCAGATCTCCGTTTTTTGCTGCCTATTCTCTCTGGCTTGCCCTGCCTATTCTCTCTGGCTTGCCCTGCCTATTCTCTCTGGCTTGCCCTGCCTATTCTCTCTGGCTTGCCCTGCCTATTCTCTCTGGCTTGCCCTGCCTATTCTCTCTGGCTTGCCCTGCCTATTCTCTCTGGCTTGCCCTACCTCCATCAGTAAAATCGTCTTGTACGCTATTAATGATTTTAAGTTCAACATGAAGCTTGAGTTCTAATAACTGCTAATTCTTCATTCAGATTTGTTTCCCTTTGCCTCGCCCGTGTAGGTTATTGCCTCCTGTAATTTGTAATATTTATTGTTTTGCATTGCTTTTGCTTACTGCCATGGCTGGCTATCACCCCCTCCCTCCATATTGGCCTATATTCCCTGGCCACGGGAAGGTGAAATGAATAAAAACAAATAAACACTGGTAAGCTCATGCTTTGTCTGTCTCCTACTGCTGCTGTGACCTGAGCAACTTACATCAGGGTCCAGGGTGCTCAAGAAGTCCATGTGGTCTTCCGTCAGGCACGGCAACAGCTGGTAGAAGGACTTGAACAACTTTGTGTATTCCTGAAACACGACACGCACACATGTACACACAGAGCCACAGGTACAATGTATTCATCCTCCATATCTGCGCAGCATTGAAACAATGTACAGTCAATGTACATTCACGGCACGACCATCACTCGAGCATGTCAACACCTGCATGCTGTACAATGCTTAAAGATATTTATATCTTGACCATTGTTCTCCTGTACCAAGTGACAGTGATAGATGTGTGATGTACATTGTACATGTAGCTACTGGACCAGGTGACAGTGTACACACCAGTACATGCAGCTACTGGACCAGGTGAGTGTAGCTGCGTGTACACACCAGTACATGTAGCTACGGCGGGCCAGACTATGATGATGATAAAACAGAAAGGTTCCAGGCTGTCCAAAAGATAACTCAATACCCAAAGGGCAACACATTATTCATCCTCTACTTCTTGTATGATGATGATGATCATCATCATCATCATGATTCTCTATGATTCTTTGTTGCTCAGTGCCGTCAGGCTCGTTAGTGCATTGCACTTGACCTGAGCAGAATATCACATGTCACTTCAAGAATTATGTGGGATTAATATCTTACATTTTGACAATATATTTTTGGTACAATATCAGCAATCATCCAATATTTATCTGGCACAATAATATTCTTAATTTAACTCAATTCAATGGTTTCCCGACTATATTGACATATTCATTGATGATAATCTATTCAGTTTTCTCTGGATTGCCCGTAAAAGAGGCCCTTCTCATGATTCTCTATGATGATGATGATGATGATGATGAGCAGAATATCACATGTCACTTCAATATTTATCTCGCACAATAATATTCTTAATTTAACTCAATTCAATGGTTTCCCAACTATATTGACATATTCATTGATGATAATCTATTCAGTTTTCTCTGGATTGCCCGTAAAAGAGGCCCTTCTCATGATTCTCTATGATGATGATAATACTAGTATGTGCGTCATCTAATGTGTTAGCTAAGATCACAGTGTAGTATGTTGCTCTGAGGTGTGCAAGCATTGTGCACGGTGCTCTGAGGTGTGCAAGCACTGTGCTGTGTAGCATGGTGCTCAGATGTGTGCCAGCATTGTGCTATGTAGCATGGTGCTCAGAGGCGTGCAAGCATTGTGCTGTGTAGCATGGTGCTCAGAGGTGTGCAAGCATTGTGCTGTGTAGCATGGTGCTCAGAGGTGTGCAAGCATTGTGCTGTGTAGCATGGTGCTCAGAGGTGTGCAAGCATTGTGCTGTGTAGCATGGTGCTCAGAGGTGTGCAAGCATTGTGCTGTGTAGCATGGTGCTCAGAGGTGTGCAAGCATTGTGCTGTGTAGCATGGTGCTCAGAGGTGTGCAAGCATTGTGCTGTGTAGCATGGTGCTCAGAGGTGTGCAAGCATTGTGCTGTGTAGCATGGTGCTCAGAGGTGTGCAAGCATTGTGCTGTGTAGCATGGTGCTCAGAGGTGTGCAAGCATTGTGCTGTGTAGCATGGTGCTCAGAGGTGTGCAAGCATTGTGCTGTGTAGCATGGTGCTCAGAGGTGTGCAAGCATTGTGCTGTGTAGCATGGTGCTCAGAGGTGTGCAAGCATTGTGCTGTGTAGCATGGTGCTCAGAGGTGTGCAAGCATTGTGCTGTGTAGCATGGTGCTCAGAGGTGTGCAAGCATTGTGCTGTGTAGCATGGTGCTCAGAGGTGTGCAAGCATTGTGCTGTGTAGCATGGTGCTCAGAGGTGTGCAAGCATTGTGCTGTGTAGCATGGTGCTCAGAGGTGTGCAAGCATTGTGCTGTGTAGCATGGTGCTCAGAGGTGTGCAAGCATTGTGCTGTGTAGCATGGTGCTCAGAGGTGTGCAAGCATTGTGCTGTGTAGCATGGTGCTCAGAGGTGTGCAAGCATTGTGCTGTGTAGCATGGTGCTCAGAGGTGTGCAAGCATTGTGCTGTGTAGCATGGTGCTC